TCCTTACCATTTGAAGGAGTAAGTTTCTGATCTTAAGGTTTTGATTTTGTCCAACTACGAGTCTTAATGGACTCCGCATGCGAGGCATTTTTGTGAAGATAAAGCGTTTATTTGATAAAACCTTTTTAAAATTTTATTAATTTTTTAATTGGTCTAATTTCAATTTTATTCACAGAATTCATGAGACTACTGCTTTTATGAACTTTCAATATTGCATTTCATTAACTTTTATCAAAAGCTTTGTAACACAATTCTTCCCTGACCAACTATATAATAGTATCAATGCATATGTCGATATCAATTCTTTCATTCTAAAAGTAAGATGAAGCAAGCACCTAAAGTAGAGAACCAATGAACTTTTCCTTAATAATAATAATTAAAAAACAAGATAGAGCGTCATGAAAGAGAGAATAAATTACTATCTTTTGTGATCATAGATCCATTTGATATGAATTGTTTCATCTCATAGCTCCCACAAAAAAATATATACACACTATCCACTCTTGAATGATTGTTAGCATGTTTGATGGTACTTAAAATTATTTTCTTAACTGCTATTAATGGAAATATGTCTTTAGCACTTCTTCCTACTATGTGAGAAATGTAGTGTCAAGAAAAGCAGCTTTTTAACACAATCAATAGTCATAATCTGTTTAACCTTTCAACTTAATCTTTTTATTTTTAATATTTGGGTCAGATTTTCAAATATCTGAAGTGTAGCGTGAATTGAAATATGGTTGATAAGTGTATTCTGTACATTTGTCTAGGCTATTAATTTAGGATATTTTGTATTACTTTTGATAAATTATAATCTAGTCTCGTGTATTTATCAATTGTTAGGTAAATCCCAGTGATTGAAGTGAAATTGAAATAAATGAATGAAAAATGGCTAAAATGGATGAAATGCAATGTTTGAAGAACAAAATGCAAATATTTTGGACCATAAAAACGATGATTAAAGATCACATAAGATTAATTGAATGCAAAAGGAAGTCAAATGAGTGAAATGCAATCGAAGTATTTTCATAAATTAATATCCAACCGCATC